CGACGTTGGTGTGGCAGATAGTTTAGGGGCCTCAACAGTTTAAAATTACCTATATTATTTGGGGTTCCTTATTATAATATAATATAATATAATATAATATAATATAATATAATATAATATGATATAATATAATATGATATAATATAATATAATATAATATAATATAATATAATATAATATGATATAATATAATATAATGTAATATAATATAAATATAAATATAAATATAAATATAAATATATATAAATATATAAATATATATATATATATATACATACCAAACTACGAATACCACCCGCCCCCTCCCCCCCCTTATTCGGGCCTCAAGCCCCTGGAGTCGATGAATCTCAGCTGACAGGGGCGAATGGCGACGGCCAGGGGCTCGCTGAGGCCAACAATCGTGTGCGGAAGCTGGAGCCGCCTGTCCTATGAGCCCAGGGATGGCAGAATTTCGTGTGTCAGTTCTCTCAGCCGCAAGACATGCAGCACATGGGCCGAACAACAATTGGAAGCATTATGGATCATTGTCTTTGTTAAACCCTGTCAAGGACAAGTCAGCGCCGGAATGCAGGGTTGTGCCACGATGCCTCGGGCTCCGAGGCAAACGCTGAAGGGAGCCCGCGAGGAGAACGACTCGCTCAAGAAGGCTGGGGCTTGCGGCGTAGGTTTAGGGTTTATATTGGGGTATCATGTTTACGGTGGCCGGCCAAACCACGATGTGCCACCCGCCTGTATTGCTTGCGGATCATTCTCCCTCTGATGTTTAGGTTTTCTGCGTCGCTCTTCTTCCCCCCACATGAGCTGTCCTTCTCAGTTTATGCGGTTTCTGGCAATATCTTTGTCTCTTGGACCGCGCTTTTGCGGACAGTGCCAGACGCAGTACCCACAGTACCCAAACCTGCGAGGGCTGCTCCAGCTTTTGCCTACAAGCACTCTGTGGGGGTTGTCATTGTATCTGCTCCAAGCCTGACGCCTGAATCTTCCTTCTCGTCATCTTATCGTCAAGGCCAGTCAGAAGACCGCAAGTCAATGCTCAGAAACCTCAAAGCTTGATTCCGAAAGAAGCCGGACCCTGAAGCCTGGGCCTCTTGCAGGAGAATGGTGTCCTCAAGGAACAACTCGAGGAGGCCAAGATCATGCGGAAGGCGCTGGAGCAGGCAGGGGTCTAAGCATCTCGGTGTAGCGCCTGTGAGGCGCAGTCGCTGTAATGACGAAAGCCGTGATCGTCATTGAACCCGAACATTCGAGATAGCGGTTTGTTGCATGACAGCTGTTGAAGTGTGATGATGGTAGAAAAGCTGACAGGGACCATAGCCATAGACAATGGTGCCTGCGACGCCTGTGTCAACTAATCAATACCAGTGTTAGTTTTGTGCATAAGAGGGCTGGGGTTGGAAATTCGACAACTCGGCATGTAGCCAAACAGGAGATGAGTCTTCTTTCATGTTTTGGGCTCAACGAGAAACCTTAAACCCAAGGCTCCCGACCTTCGAAAGCTCATTCCCGTCTTTACACCATGAAGAACGCGAAGTGCTGCTGAAAGGCCATGGAGGAGCTGCGGAGGAAGTTCGAGGTGGGCCACTGTGACTCCTAACACCTGGTCATTGGCATAGGTCTAGCAAGAATCACCGGCAGCGTGCCATAAGATCCGAAGGAATAGTCACCATCGTTGTTGTGGCGGTTGTTGTGGGGGCGGTTGTTGCTGCTAAGGCTTTTTGCGTTTGCTTTGGTTACTGTCGTTGCTCTGCACCTATGGTTGTCGCCGGTGCGACCCTGCACACCCAAAAAGCGCAGAAACGCAGGACTTCAAGAGGCGGCTGCAGGAGAAGGGCGTGGATGTCAGCGACTTGCCTGACGTTTTAAGAGGGTTTTGGGTGAAGTGCACAGTCGGAGACTTGTAGAGTGGTGTAGAGTGCAGGGCAGCATGGTGTGGCAAAGCCGCAAAAGTGTGTGGAGTGGCGAGTTGCATATGGGATGGTGGGGTGTGGGGTTCTCTCGACTCGTCACCGAGGAGCCTAGAGGCAGAGCTTGGCCGACTCAGACGCTAAACCGCTAGTCGCTAGTAATAAACACTGCAGCAGCCCGTACATCCCTTCAGCTTGAGAACGCCGACGCTTTTCGGAACGCAAGACCCGCAAGACCCTACTGTAATCCCAGCGTGCAAGAGGCATCCTCGACGAAGCCCTGGCCGAAGCGGGTACTCGAGCTGCACTGAAGGAGAGATGAGGAGAATACCATAAAGGAATGTGGGATCGATTGCTCGATGTGGTGCTGACACGGTTCATTTTATTGTATGGGGTTTTCGCGGGCATGACATAGATGCAGAAGCCTATTTATGAGATAATATTTATATGTATTGTTATGTGTACACAGATAGACTGCAATTCAGGTTTCGATTTCTCGAGGCCATCGCACAACCACCGGAACAGCTCGCGTGTGTAGCTGTGGTAGCTGCATGTAGAACACCTCGCCAGGCAGATTGAGTTTGCACATGCAGCGAGGAAAGCACTGGGTCTGGCATCCTGGAATCTTGTCGAGACCCTGTCAGGCCTTCCTTCGAACAACTACGTCCTGGATCTAAAAGCTTACAACCGCTGTGAACCACTGATGAGGCATGCCGCTGCATCCGATGAGCGTTTTCGACCGGCTCTACAAAGATGCCATCCGCAGACAGAATCGTTCGCAGGACGGCTTGCCAACAATCACCCGAACTCTGAATCATTGGGTTTCAGTCGCAGTGGACACAGTGTTTCTTCACCTCGTTTCATTGTTTGGTCATCCGGGTTCGGGCTGCAGGCTAGGGCTAGCAAGTATCATTCATGGTGTGCCAATCTCAATCATTCCTCTGAGGAGAAGTGGGTGGTCGACATGCGTAACGCGCAGCAAGAGACCTGGGCCGCTTTGTCTCGATTGCTTTAAAGCTTCGGGGAAACGTGTGTAGTGTACTCAGCCAGTAGTTGCACCGTTCCTTTGCGATCCTTCTTGAGAGAGCATCCGGTACTCAGATATTTTCGAGCTCACGATCTCTGTTCCTATAGCCCCGTGTCCATCAGTTTACGTAGAGGTTGGTCTATAGGCTTGGGGGCGGAGGGGTCATGTTAAGGCTCCTGCAAGATACAGGAGACTTTTTCCATAGCGCTTAGAGGGTACTATGGGATTCTATCATAGGGTCCCCTTTGAAGGGTACTTTAGCATTCTATAATAGGGTCCCCTTTAAGGGGCTCATAGGCTTTTCAACTAGGGTGTTGGGACAGCAGCCTGCAAATTAGGAGCGCATCCTTGGCATCTACGACGGCCCGCCGCTAACGAAGGAGTGTCCCGCTTGCGGTGTAGCTGGCAATGATGGCCCTTAGCGTTCCTGCAGACATCTGCCTTGTGGTTCATGTCATGTGCTCGGACGAAGGGGGCGCTTTTGCCACCCCTTCCGATAAGTAGCCCCCAGACTTCGCATCTGAGCCCCGGAGGAGCAGGTGAATGCCTTGGTGGAGAACGGACTGATCGACATCAGGTGCGCTTCTGCAGGAACAAGAAAAGATGAATCAGTTTGGTGAGGTACTAAGCCAAGCCATATGTAGGGCACTCCGACGAGGGCGATTCCACGGAGCTTAGTTGTGAAATTCCAGTGTTTATGTGGTGCATTGCGACGGTGTCGCATTGCTAGCTTCATGATCCCCACCAGTAGTCCCTAGAACTATGTAGAAAAAAAGTCAGCACGCAAAAAAGTTGGAGCAGTTTTGGAAAAGAGCAGCAGCCTCCTTGTCATGCGTGGTCGGAGACCTCGCAGGATGTTCGGCATGGAGCCGAAGGAAACCAAGGAGGCACCTCGAATGTTCTGCCCGCGCTGCGGCTCCACGATGAGGCGCGGCTTTCTAGGGTTTAGGGCTTTTTTTGGGCTCTTTGGGGCCTTTTGAACGTCATTCCAAGGGTCCCAAGCTTAAGTGTGTTCGGAAGGTGTCGGGTCAATGTTGGAACGAAGCTGAAAGCCACGTATCATGCCATGTTCTTGTATGGTTGAATCGCCGCAGGCAGCCATGTACTGTAACAGCATGGAGTTGCACGATACGCAGACACAGAGAGACATGCGCAAACATCCGCACAGGTGCAGAAGCAGACACACAGAAACACACAGAAACTCTCACATGTGTTTGCCTGTGGTGCAGCACACGTTCAGTCGACGAAGCAGCATTGCAGATTGTGCTTAGCAGTTTCTTTACAACTACATCAGTTGCTCTTGCGGCCACGGCCAAGCAACACAATAAGACTGCGCGAGTGCCATGAGGCAGAGCTTGCAAGTCCACTGGCCACAGTACTGAGGGTCCGAGATTTCAAGTACGAATCCAGTACAGTATCTTCGAAACACTGTTCAAGTTGGGTATTCCCATCCCGACATTGCAGCAGCAAGCCCAAGTTCTACAGTGAGTTTTTTGTATCCGACGAACATTCCGGAGCCTGGTGCCCAGAGTGAGAGAGATCTTCGGGCCAGAGGAGCTCCAATGCGCTTCCCTCCCCACACCAAGCCCCAAATCCCAAGCCCCACACCCCGGGATACTCGAGCTCCCCTAAATCCCCAAAAACGCCCTAAACCCTTCTTTGGCTTCAGGGCCTCCACGCCCGACGACGCCTCTGCGCAGCCCCGGCCGCACACGCATGGCGCGAGCCTCTCCGAGCCGGGGTCTCAGAGGAAAGGCAGCTCGGGTTTAGGCTTCGGGGTTCAGGCTTCGGGGTTTGGGGAGGCTACGAGGCTTGGGTTTGAGGTTCGAAGTTTAGGGTTCAGGTTTTAGGGTTTAGGGTTCAGGGCTCAAAGGTTGAGGATTTGGCGTTCAGCGCACCTAGGACATCCATGAACACTTCTAGGCGGTACTCGCTGTAGTCGTGCTACAATCAGCATACATGGCCTGATCACAACACGAGCAACTGTCCTGTTCCTTCTGCTCGCATGGGCGCGTTTCGGGTTGCTTCGTGGGCTGTCAATGAGTGTTAGAAAGAGGGAACTGTGGCATCGCGCAGAACGTAGACGTAGGATTTAGGTCTCGCTTCAGGATCTGGGAACTGGGACACCCGCCCCCGAAGATGCCTTGCAAAGCCTGAAATACTCGAGCTCCTTCAGCCCAGCATATCCGTCAGCCAGCAGCTCTCCAGACAGTCGTGCATCCCGAGATCCCTTTCGCCGCAAGCCGTAAACCTACTGGCTCCTGCGTCTGCCCGATCAGGCGGTCGAAGCCCAAGCTGGAGCGTGTCCGCACCTGGGCGGGCAGCGTGACATCGCTACGCACTGCCGGAGCTTTGAGGGTTTGGGGGTGCAGGATTCGTGGTGCGGGGTTGTGGCTCTGGATCGTTGGGTTCCCCGGTTTAGCAGGCGGTTCAGTGTCGGTTCCAGTCATCAGCAGTTTAGTCTTCGGATCTACAGTCAGAGTCTTCGTCTGTCCTCGTGGTGCCTTTGGCTATTCATGGCTATGCACACAACGGCCACCCAAGACCCAACAAGTCGAACCAGCCGAAAGCACATCTCTCCGTTTTGCCGTTGGAAGGAGCCGTGGCTGTTCCACAAGGTGCCGTGGCTAGCCGTGCAGAGCAGCGAAATCGGATGCGCATGCCTTGGCGCGCCCAAGGTGCCCTCACGTACACGAATGCAGAGGCCTTTACACGAAAGGAGCTGGAGACACACATGACGGAGGGCTTGTTCCATGCTTCAGGTGAGTGTCCGAGGGTTCTGCAGTGTTATTGCTGTTTGTGTATTTGTATTTTCATACACGTTGTGTGCATGGGGACACCCAAAGCCGAGATTTGTTGCAATTTCTGGTCCGAGGGCTGTGAGCTTTGCAAGCAAACACGATGTTTCTATTCAACCTCAAGCGCTCGAAGAGAAGCGAGGCTTCATACTTAGACATCCTACATGCAAGGGACAGCAAGAGAGACAGGTATCAAGTCTTGCCGTCGCCTCAGGACCTCTATCTGGACATTGTGGGATTCCATCCTGCTTCTCCGCTTCAAGCCCTCTGGCTTGGTCGCGGCAGCCTAGCCCATAACCTCAGGGATCCTTGGGCCCCCCCTGAAGCATGCTGGTTGACAGTGTCAAGGAAGCAGGCCATGTGCCGGTGATAGCATGGTCAAATGTTGGTCACATCCGGGGGACCGTCTGCCGAGGAGAGGAGACCCTTCGCCATCGTGAGCGAGGCAGACCAGCAGCTTGACCAAAGGCCAAAGGCTCGTGGTAGGCTAACGCCGCTTCATTCGCCTAACAAGCCCTGGCCTAATTGCTTATGAGACCAGTTCCATCAGTGAAAGTAGCACTTACCTAGTCGGTGGTCTGGAGGCCGTAGACTCGACTAGTCAAGGAGGCATAGAAGCTTTGTTGGCCAGCATGAAGTTGTGAAGTTGCATCGTTGCTCTAGCTTTTCCAGGACACTTGCGATTAGAAGGTCTGTAGTCTCTAGATACTAGATGCATGCAGCTGGGCCAAAGATCTCTCTCGCCCTCTACGACTGTACTGCTGATGTGGAAGGGTGGCTTCTAACAAACGCTCAAAGACACCGAGTTTGCCGTGCTCGTTTTGAAAGGTATCGGAAGCACTGTCGCTTGCAGCGCTTCACCGAGCCCAATGCGCTGGACCCGGAGCGGGACTTTTTGTATCGGACTCATTCCGGTGTCAATGGATGGCGCATGTGATTCTTCAGGCTTATGTGAAACTCTGCTGTTGTAGTTTGGGTTCATTGCATAGTCTAGTGGGGCCTCTAATATTTTCTCTGCCTCAGGGCCCTTGTGCCTTCGTAATTCGGGACTGCAAAGCTGTGGAAGACCCTGGAACTGGCAGGTGAGTGTTGCTGGGCATGGTATAGCTACCTAGCTTGCAGTGACGTTGCTTCCAATGCTGCCAATCCCGGATGCAGTGTGACACGATTCCTGGTTCGGTGCTCCCTGGGTAAGTGCGGCTACTTGGCTGTAGTGTAGGTGTGAGTGCTAGCAAATCTCAGAAGATGGAGTGCAGATGGAGAGTGCATGTGACCAGTTGTAGAGCTTGCTCCGATTGGTGTTGCACTGCCGGGCCTTAGAAGGAGAAGCTATGGTAGATGGGTTAAGGGTTGATTGGTTTGGTTTGCAGGCCGTTTGTAGTAAGCAACTGCCTCAGCCAGCTTAGCGTTCGACCTAACTTTACAGGCAGGTGGAAAAGAGGTGACAAAAAACCCTAATCCTTAAACCCTAAACCCTAAACCCTACATTTGGCCTGTTACATTTAAGTTTCGGCAGTTCCTTTCTTCTAAAAGTCCCAGCTGCCTGGCAGAGTCGAATCCTGGAAGTCCTGAGTCTGAGGCTTTTGGGGCTGAACCTGGGGTTTCGATTGTAGGGTTTAGGGGTTTGGGTTTAGGGGTTTAGGGTGGAGCCTTCACCACGACAAAGAAACACAGCAGTTGCGGAAGAACTGCCATTACCACAAGCGCGCTTAGCACTGAGTTGCCTTCTTTCGAAGCCTTGCCTCGAGAGATCTTCGGCTCCAAGTTGCAGCTTGACTGAACCTACAACTTGCCCTAAGCCCCCTAAGCTCCTAGAATCCTTCCTTTGTTGCAGGACTTGCCGCCATCTGGCAGCTCGCAGAGCCCGAAGGCGAGAGAGGGCTCCCCCATGTCCCCGCCGCTTGGAAGTGAAGGGCAGGGCAGGGCAGGGAGCGCCATCTCTGCAAGGAAGCGGTCGGCGCCAGGGTTGGGTTTGTGATATCGGGCATGTGGGTTCGTGCGATGGCGGAGAGCGGTGATGGGCCCTGCAGCGACAGTTTCAGAGTTTCCGCCGGGCGCAGCTCTGTCCTCTCAGCCCCGAAGCACCTCAAGTGCATCCCCTGCCTCCAAGCCGGTCCAAGCCTTGTAGGTAGCCACTGTAGCCACATGTAATTGTGGAATCACATGTAACACACGTAGCTACTGCAGAAGCTTCGAGGTCCAAGTCGGAGGGAGCGGGCTCCTCTCCGGAGGCTCCGCCGGTTTCTCCGGCTTCCGCTCCACAGGCCCAACTCTAAAAGGGGGTCTCCCGGGCGTTCGGCTCCGGCTTTCGGGATGTTTTGGGTCGCTGAGGGGTGAGGGCTTCGCCGGGAGCGGGCATTCTCCTGTGGCCGTGTTGATTCTCTGAGCATTCCGGGATGAACAGCAGGTGCCTCTGGACTTCACCCTCACTCCGACGGCATCTTCAGCTGCCTGGTGCTCAAGCACCTGTCTAGCTGAGACACCAGAAGAGACCGGAAGAGTGCAGACTCCTCCAAAGATCTTAGGGTGCCGATGTCAATACCGAGTGTACGACTAGCCATGTGTTACCCGCTTCGGGGTATTCTTCTACGGCGACCTGCGTTGCGAAGTGTCGAGCACTGGCGCTCACATCCCCAAATCACTTGCAAGACCCATGAGAAAAGCCCCAGCACACAACCTGGAGCCGTAATCAAATTACACTCGAGCGCACAAGAATCTCGTATGGAGCGACTGCAAGCTTGCGAGCGTGAGTTGGCCCACAGACCGTTGTAAGGTGGCTAGGGCCGTAGAGTCTTGCCCGCGAACAGCTCGAAAGTGAGTCACAGCGGTCGCAGACATAGTTAAGCTGCTGACTTGACCCCACCCCCGGCAAGACGACCCTTTAGAAGAGCTGTGAACTCGCCATAGACATAGACCTCGCCATCAAGCTAAAGGATCTCTCGGAGGGCTGAAGGGGTTCTCTAGCAAGGTACTTCCCCGCTGGTACTCAGGCAAAGCTTGAGCCGCCGCCGACAGCAACACTGGACAGCGCAAGTGCCATGACCCTCGACCTGCGGGAGACGCAGGCGATCGGGTCACCGCTGGTGCAGCAAGGGATTTTGTGCATTGTTTCCCTTCTGCGCAGAATTGCAGGCAGGCGAATGACATTCTGTTGCAACTGTCTCACAAAAATCCGAGGTGTGAAGGGTGCGAGGTCCGATGCATGTGAGGGATCCACAGCTAGTCAGGTCCTCCAGGTCGATGCATGGAATCGTCTGCTTCCACCCGTCTCATTTCCTTGTCAACCCCTTTAAGCTTTGAAGTGTCCTAGAGGGCTTGAAGACCGGGCCAGATCCCCTAATGCGGAGGTGAAGTCTCCACCGCCGATGCTCTCGGAGCCTGCGGCACCGCCGTTGCAGCAGCGCCGAACCTTGGGGCACTAAGGGTCTCGCGCGCTGAGGGATCCTGGTTCTCTGGGTTCCTCTTTTTCCCCGACCGGCGCAGTACACACCGTTTCGGTTTCCATCGCTCAATGTCAGGGTAAAGAGCAGTCGGTGTGTGCGAGCGGCTAGCACGCGCGCACAGAAACGTTCCTCGGAACGCGGTTCCTGCCGTGGCGTGGTACATAGTTTGCGCTGACGTCCTTGTATTTACATCTGCCGTTCGCCCAGAAAGCCAGTCTCGTTTTAAATTGCTATGCATGGTTATGTGGTCTGTTGGTGGTCCGTGGTCTGCTGCCGCTTTCTTGGTGGGCCTCTGAGTCTGGCGTCTTCTGGTGGTCTCCTGATATTCCTGGTGGCTTTTTCTCGTTGTCTCCTTGTGGTCGTGGTGTCCTGCACTGTCTGTGTATATCTGCACAGGCAAGCTCTGTTATCAATAAGGGTTCTCAGATTTTCCGATGGGTGGTCAGCAAATGCCCTCGCATGTTGGTCGCACGCGGGTTCCGATTGTCGCGAACCCTTCAGGACAAGTGCCTTTCCTGCTGCTCTCCCGTCTTTGCTTGCAAGGCATCTCCGCCCGTGATGCAAAGATCGTGGAAGGTGCGGGCCAGCAAGATGTGAGAAGTCGAAGCTCATGAAAGGGATGATAAACAAGCCTCGAGCAGCCCGTCCTTCAGTTTACAAGGTGATTTGTCAAAACGATAAGAGCAAAACAGTTATACCGACAGAAATAGTGGTCATTCGTGCCCAAGAATCGAGACTTTTCAGGCGGTGGGGGTGGCAGTCGTGGTGGGGGTGGGGGTGGTGATGGTGTTAGCAATAGTAGTACGAGTCTTCGTTGTAGTCTTCGTAGCCGTGGTAGTTGTGGTGGCAGTGGCGGTGGCAATGGCACTGGCGGTGGTGGTAGTGGTGGTGGTCCAGACTCCTGAAACCCCTTCAGGCAAGCGTCAAACTCAAGAGCCCGGAGCCAAACCCCCAAAATTGAACCCTAGATTTGCCATCCTCTGCCGAGTTGATTCGCTTCGGCAGCCCTTCTTTTCAGGCAGGGTTTATAATGCAACGGCCGCAGCTCCTTTTGACAGGTACATAGTTCGAGGGCGTTTAGGTGGCACGCAGAGTGCTGTCCAGACCGTATTGCCCACTCCAATCCCCAGTCCCAAAGTCGCACATCCTGGAGCAGCCATGGCCTCCAAGCCGGAAAGCTTGCTGTTGCGGGCCGTCTTGTCCTTGACCGGGACCTTGTTCGAGGAAAGGCGATGGAAGGCAGGGCTTCGGGCCCAGAATCTAAAATAGTATGTACTAGTCAGTATTGTATAGTATGACCTGGCATGGCATGACATGTTATATTACAGTACTTGTCCAGACGAGTATGGTCTAGTGTAGTCCACTATAGCCTAGTATGGTCTTGTATGTTTAGTTTTGTCAAGCCAAGGCAAGTCCAGCCTAGTAAACCGTATCGTATAGCACAGCATAATCTGGTCTAGCCTGGTCTAGTCCAATCTAGTATAGTGTAGTAAGCATAGCACAATCTCACCATACTGGTATTTTTTGGTATTCTCTATTAATGTTATGTCAGAACATAGAGTCAAATAAAACAACACATAGTAAAGATATGGCACGGTTTCGGGCTGAGGGCGGCCGAAGGCACTGCGGCGGCAGTGTCCAGGGTTCAGGGTCTAGGCTCCCACTAGGTCACTAGGTAAAGGGCCCTCGCGCGGATTTGGGGACGTCTCGGAAGTTCAATACCTGCAAGAATCGCAACCGATTAACCATCTGCTCTCTAGCTATGTTACTCTTGAGCTGTGATGAATGGGTCAGGTGATTATTAGTGCACTTCGGACTAATACCACGAGCAAGTCGCATTATCATTCTGGTTGTCATCCACTAATAAAGCAAGCAGTTTACTGATACCTAGAATCATCATAATCAGATTCCTAATCGCAGTCATTGTGATCGTGATCGTCATAGCGCAAGCCCAAACTCAATAGCAATAGCATTAGCAGTGGCGATGGCGATAGCAAGAGGAATAGCAATAGGAATAGGAATAGCAGCAGCAACAGTAATCGTAAGAGTGATGGTCATAGTCATAGAACTTGTTCAGCAATAGTAATAGTGATAACAGCTGTGATAGTGAAGCGACAGAGACAAGTGACAAGTGACAATGATCTTGATAGTGATAGTTGTACAACAGTAACACTAATGGCAACAGTAATCGTAATCGTAATAGCTCGTATTTGTAATAGATGTAATGGTAATAGTAATAGTAATGGTCATACTAAGCGTAAGAGTAAGCGTAAGAGTAATAGTAATAGTACTCGTTGTAGTAAGTAGTAAAAGCAATACTACGTAATACTAAGAGTAGGAGCAGGGGTAATGGTAATAGTGGTAATGGTAATAGTAAGGGGACGAGCAATAGTAATCGCAATAGCAGTGGTAATCGTAATAACAATGGTAATAGTAACAGTAATGGTAATAGTTGTAGAAACACTAGTGGTAGTAAACATAGTAACGCTGCCAGTAATCCCAAGAATACAAGAATACTAACACCTCAGAAATTAGGGCAGTAACAATAGTAATTAAACCCTAAACCCTAAACCCTAAGCCCTAAACCCTAAACCCTAAACCGTCTTATCATAGTCATGCTTTCGATCACCTGGAGAGGCCGTGGGCATATGCGTCTGCCTCTTCTGCTTGCTCCTGGGCGAGGCTGCCACTGCCCGGCACTATGCGAAGGCCCGTGACCCTGTGAGCTCTGGAAGGGCTTTAGATTTTGGGGTCTTGGGGTTCAGGGAGAGTTTGAGGTTTTCAGGGTTTAGGGTGTAAGGGTGTTAGTCAGTGTTAGTCCACCAAGAGGTCAGTACAACAGAGAGCACAGCCGCTGTCGTTCGGCAACAAAGCCGCAGCGTGCTGAAGACAGCAGCGCTGCCTAGGATTGTTTCACGTTCAGCGTAGGCTTCTCTTCCGACTCGTTGTAAGCAAGCACAAGCATCGACGAGTTTGTAGGAGGTAAACATACGTTTCAGAGTTGCTTCAGGCATTGACGAACGAGCTCTGCAACGAGTCTCAAACAGGATTCTCATCACTCACATTCGCTCACCAGCATGAGCTCGCGCTTGAAATACACCTGACCCATAGACGGCCAAGCCTCAATCATAAAGATCCGATCACTCTCACTATTAAGATCCTTATGCCGACGGCCGACGGCCCCAAAGCACGAACTCTTCAACCCCCGGAGCCCTTTAAGCCCTGAGCCCTTCAGACCTGAGCCCTGCACCTTGAGGTGCACGGGAATCTGATGACGGCCCTGCAGAAGCGGAAGACCACGGCCTTCCGCTTTGGCTTGTGGAAGGTGGGGAAGGCCTGGCTGATGGCAATGCACCGCAACGAAGATGAGCACAGATGCAATTCAGTATTGTAGTGGCGCTGTGCTATACTGCAGTCTAGTGTGTCGTTACCCTCCAAGCAAGACACTCCCAGGTCATGCCATGCATTTGGAACAAAGTGCGCGGCAGTGCGTTCAAGCGCATGAGAGTCCATAATGTACTTCGGGTCCGCCTTTTCGGCAGGTCATCCTCACCATCAGCCCCATCGTGGCATTGCGGGAGTATGTCGCTGGCCTTCTCGAACTTGCCTGGCGCGAGTCTCTGACGAGACGGCTCGTTAGCAGATACCTTTCAGATGGCACTGCATCGAAGCGCCAGTCCTTCTACAGCCTTACACTGACGGGTGAAATCGACAATCCGGACCAGCGAATATGCCAAGATGTCGGGAGCTTCGTGAACACCGCAGTGTCGCTGTCGCAAGACGTTGTGAGGACCGTTTTGAGCGTCTTAGCCTTCGCTCCGACTCTGTATGCCATTTCTCCAGCGGCATGCTTCGGTGGTATGGCCTATGCCATCCTTGGGACACTGCTTGCAACACGAGGTTTTGGTGCTTGGCTCGGGCTGTACCAGATGAGATGCGTCCAGCAGGAAGCTGGTCTTCGATACAAGCTGATCCGAGTGCGGGAGAACGCAGAATCCATCGCATTCTTCGAGGGCGGGGAGGCCGAGCTGTCGAAATTCAACGCAGCGTTTACCACGCTGCTCGACACAGCATACCAGCGAGTTCTGGTCGCGGCTGGCTACGGCATGCTCAATCGGAATTTTCAGTGGGCGACCTTCGTGGTCACACCCGTCCTGGTCGGCCCTGCGTACCTTAAGGGGAAGGTCGAGTTCGGCGTCATTGCACAGACGAGTATGGCCTTTAACACCATCCTGAACGCGATGACGCTGGTAATGCATCGTCTCGAGGCGCTCAGCGATGTGTCTGTCCGGGTCCAACGGCTCCATCGCCTCGACCTCGCCCTCCGAGACTGCCAGGCCGAGCGTGCTGCATGCAGAAGGCCAGGAGTGCGCGAGCAGCAGTGCATCCACTCGGACACTGTGGAAGACGGTCCCGTGCGTGTATGCTTCCAAGATGTGACTCTAAAGACGCCTCTGCGGGCAGATGCCGTGCCGCGGGTGCTTTGCAGCCGCTTGAGTTTTGAGCTCTTGGACGGGCAGTCTCTCCTCGTCACGGGTGAGAGCGGTATTGGCAAGAGCTCACTTCTCCGCGCAGCTGCCGGGCTTTGGACTAACGGCTCAGGCACCATACAGCTTTGTAACAGGAGTCATGTATTCTTTATGCCGCAGAAGCCCTACATGTTCCTAGGCTCTCTGCGCAGCCAGTTGCTCTACCCGCGCATTGACGATCGCATGCTCAGCGACGGTGAGCTTGCAGAGGCATTGAAGCGTGTTCGTTTGGGTGACCTGCTTGATCGGCATAACCTTAACGAAACCAAAGACTGGACCAGCATTCTGTCGTTGGGCCAGCAGCAGCGCATCAACTTTGCCCGGCTCCTGTTGATGCCGCAGTCTGAGCTCGCTCTGATGGACGAGTGCACCTCAGCCTGTGATGTGCAGAGCGAGTCCCTTCTCTACCAACACCTGCAGAAGCAACTGCGCAGCTATGTTTCCGTGGGGCACCGTCCAGCCTTGCGGAAGTTCCACAGCCATGTCCTGTGGCTTCGCCACGTGGAAGGTGACCGGCAGGCGCGTGCAGAAGGCCTCTTCCTGCCGATGTCTGAGTTCGAGTCCCGCGTCGCCTCGTGACGAAACTGCAGGAATGCCGCTATGTGAACAGCCCGAGTCAGCTTTTCAACTTTCAAGCCCCTTTCAACTGTGCTGTCCTTGCACTTGGTTTTCTCGAATCCTGACACACTAGTCTCATGCAAGTCTCAATTCCCAAAGGGTGCCCACCCGGCCAAGCAGTGCTCGATTGAATAGCTCCATAGGGACAACTGATTGTTTCATAATGTCGCTAGCCTGTTCAAGTTCACAGCCCTCACGCTCTGCAAGCTGTGGAGATGCACCGAAAGCTTGGGACTACATCCTAAATTCTATGACGACCCCTTCCACTCGTCAAAGCCACCTGGCCTGGCAACTCCCGAAATTTCTGCACCCAAGTGTGCATCAGCGAGAAGTCTGGGAGCTTTTGTCGTGGCAGGTGGCCCTGCCGCTTCCCAGCGGCTCTCCCGCGGCAACGTTTTTGCAGCCTCGGCACCGCTGTGGCTCAGAGAGAATGTGCCTCTTTCGGCTCGCCTACCGGGTCTTCAGGGTCCTGGAAGGCTTCTGAATCTTCAGGAACTTTTTGTTTGACTGGGTTCGGTCATGGTCTCGTCGTCCCGTGGCTTGTGGAGGGCTTGCAGGGCGTGCGACTGATGCTTGGAATGTTGCTGTAGCGCACTCAATCACCTTCACCACTGGTGGAGGTAAACCCTAAACCCTAAACCCTAAACCCTAAACCGTGCATTCCTTTCCTCTTCTGTTTGGGTTTGAGTCTTGTTCGACTCATGTCCACCCGGCAACCCTGATCCAACCGGCAGTCCGAACACGTTTTTCACGTGTCCGGTGGGTATCTGTGTCATACTCGGTAATCCATGCGGGTATGGCCCTTGAGTCCCAAGACGAAGGCAGCCTTTCGACGTGGTAATCACCTCCTCGAAGGCATCTGGAGTGATTGGGACTGGAGTACACCTTTGAGGGTGCGAGGTATTGCAACTTCAGACTTTCGGATCGCATGAGTCTGATTTCGACATTTTAGGTCAAGATAAGGGCATTTGAGACCTCCAGACTGCCGCCATTCGCGATGTAGGGTTACATGCGATGGGGGTAGGGGCCACAAGTTTTTGCCAAGATTTTCTGCATATTTCTGGTGGGAAAGACTCGTCAGAAGTGTCCAAGCACTTACTGTGAACAGGAATCGCAGTCTCACACCACGCCTGCGCCTTCTCTAGTGCACTTCTTCTTTCAGATTCTGTCTACGTCGGTTTTTGCAGTAGCGTAGGTTAACTTTCTGTGTTTCAGTGGTCGATGCTCGAGGTGCAAGCAGGATCCTGTTCTGAAGGGAGGGTTGGCCATGACGAATTCGAAAGTTGCTGCGACCAGGCGGCCACGCTGCCTCAGATCACCACTCCAGCACCAAAGCCACGTGTTAGACTCGGAAACCTCAGATTTGACTGAAAAGACATGTGAGCAGGCGCTCAATCTTCTCTGAGTTTTTGTGCCTGATCCTCTTCCTGCCACTACCAAGTTGCTTCGACCACTAATGCTGCTCCTGCTCCCACTCCGACTCCAGCTCCGTGCTGCCGCTCCGTCTCTGCCCGCCACCCACTCCTCTTGCGGCCGCCCCTTCTCCAGCTACTCCTGCTACCGCCGCTGCTGCCGCCGCTGCTGCTGCTGCGTCTCCTGTACTACTACTACTACTACTACTACTACTTCTACTACTACTACTAGTACTACAAGTACTTCAAGTACTACAAGTACTACAAGTACTACAAGTACTACAAGAACTACAAGTACTACTAGTAGTACTGCTACTACTACTACTACGACGACGACGACTACTACTACTACTACTCCTGGTACTAGTACTGGTACTAGTACTAGTACTAGTACTAGTACTAGTACTAGTACCAGTACCAGTACTAGTACTAGTACTAGTACTACTGGTACTACTACTACTACTACTACTACTACTACTACAAGTACTACAAGTACTACAAGTACTACAAGTACTACAAGTACTACAAGAACTACAAGTACTACAAGAACTACAAGTACTACTAGTAGTACTGCTACTACTACTACTACGACGACGACTACGACGACTACTACTACTACTACTGCTACTACTACTCCTGGTACTAGTACTAGTACTAGTACTAGTAGTAGTATTAGTAGTAGTACTGGTACTGGTACTAGTACTAGTACTAGTACTGGTACTGGTACTGGTACTAGTACTAGTGCTAGTACTAGTACTAGTATTAGTACTAGTACTAGTACTACTACTAGTACTA